AGGCCTCTGCCCCGTGGTGTCACTGCTGTTCTGCTGCACAGGCTGAGGCTCAGGGAGGTGAGGAAGTCAGTGCCCAGGCCACACCCCCAGTAAATGCAAGGCCCATGTAAGCCTGCTCTTTCTTGCTCCAGCCTGGGGTCTTGAACCCTACATGACGCTGCTTCCTAAAGCAGATCCGTGTTCTCTGAGGGTGCGGGACAGACTCCTGGCCGCAGGAAGTGTGGCCTATGCAGTTACACATGCTTGCTGTCTTACAGTTGTTCTATACAATGCTTTGTCCATGCAAGGGCTGAATTAGCACCACTTGTTCAGGATTGCTACTGAGAAATGCCGTAAATAAACTTCAGATTGGCTGGGCATGTTGGCTCACAGCTGTGATCCCAGCACTTTGAGAGGCGGGAGAATCACTTGAGTCCAGGAGTTCAAGACCAGCCTGGGCAACACGGCAAAACTCTGTCTCTATAAAAATTTAAAAATTAGTGGGGCATGGTGGTGTATGCCTGTGGTCCTAGCTACTCAGGATGGTGAGGTGGGAGGATCACCTGAACCCGGGAAGTCAAGGCTGCAGTGAACCTTGATTGCGCCACTGGACTCCAGCCTGGGTGACAGAGCAAGACCCTGTCTCAAAACAAACAACTCACTTCAACTTAAGGCGTGTTTGCATTTTGATTTCTAATCTTAGCCAACTCCAAAGGCTGTGATATTTGAGGGATGTTTTTAATGATGGACAGTGCCTGCTGGAACCCGATGACAGTGAACGAGATGAATACTTACTATCTGTGGCCTTGACCTGCTTGTGCAGTGGCTGGGTGACTGTGGCCTGGTGTCCTGGGGTGGCCGTGAGGGCCACAGCAGGAACCTGGACTAGGGGATGGGGCTTCAACTCCTGCCATCACCACCTGAAAGATGCCCACTGGGGGACAATCCTCTCCTCTGTCCGGAGAGTGGGTGACATGGAGGATGCTAAGCCCCCTCTGCTTTCGGAAGGTTTAAAGAGGCAATAGACATCCCTCAGCCTCTTCCCTTCTTAGGAAGGACTGAGTGAGCAAGAAGGGCAAGATATGCATCCTGCCGCTGCCCACTGTACATCAGGCCCAGCGTCACCCCAGGGTGTGCCTGGATGGGTCTTGGTGGTGGGCCAGGGCTGCTGTCCCAGAGGCGTCCAGTCGACAGCTCGGCACTCTCCATGGGGTTAGGGTGGGAGAGGCAGTGCTTGCCCCACACTAGAGGCCGCCTTCTGTGGGACCAGCACACGCAGGACCAGGCGCCCAGGAGCTGCCGGAAGACCACAGGGGAGGTGGGCACAGCAAAGAGCTGATGTCCGGACACCTCTTGGCCTGCATGTAAGACTCTGAGATGGAGAGAGGGCCGCTCCTCCAGGTTTTGGAATCCCAGTGTTTTAAAAAATAAAGACATGTCACAACGGGGTTCTAAAAATTGGGGCGCCTTTTAAACACTTCTGTACACTTCAACAAATAAGAACTTCTGCTGTGCAATAAAGTGCAGCGTCTGTAGGCTCCAGGTACCTGGGAGAGACAAGACATCAGAACCCCGCCGTGGGCGGGGGGGTCCTTTCTGGCACCTTGCCGTAGGGCTGTTTTCATGTGTGCGCTGAAGCCACACAGTGCACATTTCCACACGCTTCCTCATGCAAACTGTTGGTATGTGTACCACATGCCCCTGAGTCCCTTGGCTCATCTGGCTGTAGAGGCTGCAGGCCCTGTGCAGAGACCTGGTGTTTGCAGACAGACTGGGACCTGGGCATATGCTTACTCCTGTGGTCTCAATTTCTCCTCTGCTCTACCTGGCAAGGTTTCGGTAAGGATCAGGGATGACTTATGTATAGTGTCTAACACATGGCATAAATGGTCCTTCCTGTGGAAAGTCACTGAGGGTGAACTTCTGCTGGGTTCTGTGGGATCCTGCTCGAGTCCTGAGCTCCTTAGGAAAACGGGTATTGATTATTGCTTGTGAGCCATGGAGCAGCACCTGAGCTTCAGCGGGCACATGCCAGGGGTGGGCTCCCGTGTAGGTGCCTGTGTCTGCTGCGGGGTCCTGGTTTGTGACACGAAAGTGACGTGTGTTTGCATGTGGCAAGACTGACTGCCTCCGCACAGAAGTGAATGAATAAGCCCCCTGTTCTCACACTGGACTGTCAGCCCATCCCGGATGAACGCTTTAGTGGATGCCTTCAGCGGATCCTTTCATGAGTTCAGATCTTTGCATACGTGGGCTTTTTGGTGGGGAAGTCTGCACAGCTATTGTTAGAAAGAAGATTGCGGAAAGGTCCAGTCCTTTCTTTGCACTTCGCCTGCTGTCTCCTGGGGATTCTGTCCCCAGTGCTGTAGAGAAAGGCCTTGGGCTGTGCATTTGTAGACAGACGCGGATGTGTAGGGTGGGAGGAGCTGCCTGTCACTGGCTGGCAGGTATCACATGGTGTGGCAGAACCTGCAATGTCAGCATTCCCTCAATTCCCAGCATGGCCGGGCCCAGCTCTTGCTGCTCTGGGGCTGGTGCGGGGAGGGGGCAGCTCTCTGCTGTCTGCAGCCTGTTCCTCTTGCCCTCCAGCAGGTAGGATGCCTTCTTGGCCAGGGATATCCTCTCCAGGTCTCATATCCTCCTGCTAAGGGACCAGTGGACACCTTAGTTCCAGCCCCGACCCAGCCTGTCCAAGTGCCTACCTTCTATATCTACAGGCCATATTGTGCCCCCTCTGGGGCTGACTGGGCTTCTCGGGCACAAGCTCAGGGTCCTGGCTGCCCGAAGCTTCAGGGATTTCCTCCATCAAGACATGCTCCCATGAGTGGGTGTTTGGTGACGCTCTGCCACAGCCCAGCCTTTCTTGGCTGGAGGTTAACCTATTGGCTCCCCTACACCCCAGTCATTAACAGGAATATCCATTTCAAAGGTGATGTAAGGGATACAGGCTCTACAGGCTGGGGAGCAGAGGAAAGGTAGGGTCATGACCTGTCTGACCTGGAAGCTTCTGTCTGATTTGCATTGCCCCGAAATTGATGGGGACAATGAGGTAATCACCGGGAATTGCACTCCCCCGCTGAAAACTGAGCCAGCCCCTTTGCATGTCACGACATAGGCACCGTCCCCTGGGCGTCTGGTTCCCATCAGTGTCCCCCAGCCCCGGAGGCTGCCGGGACACCCTCACATTTAACCTTCCCCGCGTGAGGCCGGCTGGGGCCGCCAGGCGGAGGACTAATGAACCTGTACTCAGAGGAGGGGCTGCCCGCCAGAGGCTGGGAGGGACTTTGCAAAAGGCCTCAATGATCTGTTTACAGTGATCTGAGAAACACCAGATTTTTCTGAACCAGACCCTATTAGTCAACCCCGAGTGGGAAGGGGAAGGCAGGCCAGGCCCCATCCATCCAGGCCCTTTTGCCTGCTGCTTTCAACTCCTATAAAGACACAATTACCTTGGGAGGCTGTGGCGGTTCAGTTGATTAGCACGGTGAATTAAAAGAATGAGTCACAAATGACATGTCCAGCGCTTCCATACTGGTTCTTTGTATTCCCATGTGCCTCACCCTGTTGTAAGAAGGTCAAAAATTAGAGAGAGAGAACAATTTTCAAGCGGCTAGCACTTAGGAGCAGAATTAACAATCACTCTGTATGTAATTGCCAGTTAATAGTAAATTGCCTTCTAGACTGTAAAATGCAATATAAACTGGTGGGCACCTAAAATTAAATTAATGAGATATTTGCTGCATTTAAAAGTGAATAGTGCAAATTAATAACTGAGTGCAATGCTTGTTTTAATATTTGTCTAATAGTGTACCATTTGCTTGTTTAATAATAATTAAAATAGTCCCAGAATGTCCTACCTGAGAAACTCGCAGTATACACAAATTGAGCAGTTTCGCATTTATAATTCCACCCATAGAAAGGCATCAAATGGTTAAGAGTAATAAAAGAAATTATTTTTTAATTAGAATATAAACATTACAGTGTTATTTGATTAAGACAGATTGGAATTTGTATGCATCTAATTGAAATTATGTTACTGAGGAAACTACTTTCATAGACACGTTTTCAAGTGTGAAGCATCATGGCACAAATGCGTGTGTTACTGTTTTCTAACAATGTCCATTTGGCAGGATGGTTTCCTATTAAACAAAAGCACTGAGGCCGGTTGGGAGTGGTGGCTTGACTTCCAGCATCATTCACGGGACACTGGGGAGGTGGCTAGGTCGGTGTTTCTTACTCTTGGTTTCTTGCACCCGGATGGTTGATTGACCCACCCTCATTTTAGAGATTTCTTTTGCTCAATTAAAGAAATTATCACAAATTACTGGGAGCCAACATGTTGTTTGCGACAGACTGAACCCAGTTACTAAACAAGATATTGGCAGTCGATAGCAACCACATCCAAAGTGGACACGGGGAGCTCTTGACGGCGGAATACCTGGACTGCTCCCAGCCCCGGGATGCAGTTACTAGATGGGAACATAAAAGTGATTATTTTCTGCACAAGGACATTCATTCAGCTTCAGGCTTATGAAATCGTTACTCAACCAGTAATTGCTAACAGTTTCTGTTCTTTCTGATACAGTATTTATGGTTTACTTTTCTTCTTTTTTTTAAGTCATATGTACCTTAAAACTGGCCATGCGTCAAGGGGCGACGCTGTGTCCTCCAGGGCTGTCCTGGCCCTGGGTGAGGGTTTCCCCTGTCTCCTGGTGGGTGTCCACAATTTAGCCCCACTTCACTCCCCTCGTGAAAGCACTCCTGGTTCTTAAGTGTGTTAAAGATCTTTTGTGGGCCGGGCGTGGTGGCTCACGCCTGTAATCCCAGCACTTTGGGAGGCCGAGGCGGGCGGATCACGAGGCCAGGAGATTGAGACCATCCTGGCTAACACGGTGAAACCCCGTCTCTACTAAAAATGCAAAAAATTAGCCTGGCGAGGCGGCGGGCGCCTGTAGTCCCAGCTACTCGGGAGGCTGAGGCAGGAGAATGGCGTGAACCCGGGAGGGGGAGCTTGCAGTGAGCCGAGATCGCGCCATTGCACTCCAGCCTGGGCGACTAAGCGAGACTCTGTCTCAAAAAAAAAAAAAAAAAAAAAGATCTTTTGTGTGCGTTGAGAGGCAGTCCTGTTAGCACCACGGAGTCAATTGTGCCCTTCGACCACGCCAGCCCCGGCTTGCTGTCTCCCAGGCCGGTGCTCCTCAAACAAATTACTTGGATGCACAGAGCAAATGATGCTTAATTGCCGCCCACAAATCATACTATTTTTACTATGCTCAACTAAATGCTAACGCCTTCCTTCCATGTAAACCACATGCTTTCCTCATGGGTCCTGGAGTTTGGGGACTCTTTGGCTCAATTCTGTTGGTGACTCTCATCATCCCTGTGACTGACCGTTCGTTCCTGCCTGCAGCAGGCCCTCCTGCAGCCACACTGGCCGTCCTGCTTCAAACCCACCAGTCAATGGTGTCCAAGGACGTCTGCGTCCCCCCATCACCCCCAGTGAGCCCCCTGAGACTAGACACCCTCCAGGCACCTTTGCTTTTCTATCAAGTTAGTTCTATCAGAGAATAGCTTGGGTCTGTGTTTTCAGCTCAGGCTGACTGTGGACCTGCCCAGAGTTGGGATAATCACAGGATAATGCATGATTCCAACAATACAACTTCTCCTGACACCACTTTAGCTTTTGTCCTTTGTTTAAATATGGATGGCAAAGGGTGACTTTTTTTTGCACATCAACTGGGGTGGTGTGCATCCGTGCATCAGCCCCTTCCCCTGGGAGTGAGGCCGACCGCCATCACTGGGGTCATTTCAAGGGTCCTCAGGGCCCCTTAGGCAGAGCCACAAAGGAAGGGAGGGAGGGCAGGCTCCCACTGCTGTCCTCCCCACTGCTACATTGTAGCGTCAGCCCAAACCATGATCAATTAATCTGCCAGCATGCTAAGTGGGTGCTGGGGTGAGATTCGATAACACAGCCCTTTGAAGAGTGGGGCCAGGAGGGCTTCCAGGGTCACTGCTGTCCCCTCTCTTTCCCGTCTCGAAGGAGGCCAGGAGAATGAGACACACCGTTTGTGCTATTGCACAAGTAGACTATTTGTCCTAATCAGTGACACCCATTTACTAGAATTGCTTAAAATGAACTATACCTCATACAGAAATCGCACATTTAGAGAGTTCCATTCATCATCTGAAAATTGAGGGCCAGTAAACTTTTCTGCTCCTCCAGTGGGATCATAGGCATGCATCAAAATGTTAAAAATGATTGGTGAGAGGGAGCTGTCACCCATTTATCAAGGAAAAGAACATTATTTGCTAATTTCCCAACCAGGCTGGTGACAGGGTGCTTCGTCTTTAGACCCACGGTGACCAGCATGGCCTTTTTGTTATTAGTACAAGTCAAGCGCTTTTGGGCTGTTGCTAACAAGGCACATTTGTCTGTCATCCGAGGGGGCTTTGGTCGGTTTCCAAGTGGCTGTGACCAAGTCTGCACCCTGCACCTCGATTGGCTGCTCTCCTCGGGGCCACGCTAACCCAGGAGGAGAAACGAGCTGATAAATCACAAAGTTTCCATGTCAAGGTGAAGGTATTGACTCTTCAGCACCAAACCTGACAAAATGTAGCAGAGAGGAGATGGCCATTCATCTTCCCCAAAGGACAAAAGGGTCATCCGGGTTTCACTTGGTAATTGTCGGGTTGAGGACGGCAGAGGCGGGCCCGGCCCTCTCCCTGTTAAGCCCCCTGAGTAGGTGGGTCCACTGGTCCCGCTCCTCACCCACCTTGCGGTGGCCCTTCTCGGGGCTGCAGGGAGGAGAGTCGGGGGTAGAGCGGGTCATGCTCCGGACTTTTGAGTTTCTGATTGAGAAGGACGTGCTTCTGAAAACAGCTTGGAGTGGGTCCAGGAGATGGTGTGGGACTGTGGGAGAAGAGAGCAACAGACCATTTAGAACAAAATAAGTGTGATCACCTGAAGTGCAGAATAAAGCGGGGATAGTATGATGTAAAATTAAATACCACAGATCACTCCGGCCACAACTCCCACAGGTTAAACTCTGAAGACCAAGGGAGACGTCAGCACAAACGTTTTAGTAGAGGACCTGAAACAGAAGTGTGTGGTTCTTTCAGCACCAAAGAGGAGATGACATAGATCACTCTCTTGTCCCAGGAGAATAGGAACAAGAACTAAATGCTGCCTCTGTTTCTCTTTCTGGCTTATAAGTTACCAGTGCCTCAAGCTCCCTCCCACCAGATCTCCATGGCTGGACATCGGGCCCAATGCTAGCAGCCCATGGCTGGAATCGATAGAGTATGTGTCGCTCCGGCGTGTGCCCGGCCAGCTGAGTCAGTGACAGTGCTGGGACCCGGCTGCTCGTAGTTTCATGTGAGGCTGTTTTTGGAGGGTCCTGAGACCTGTCTGTGCGCAGTGGCTCTAGGCTGAGGCTTGGATTACAAAAGCCTGGCCTAAGAAAAAGGTGCTTTTCCAAAACTATCATTTCAATCACTTGGGCCTTTTTAATTTTTTGTAGAAAATTCAAAATGAGGCTGGGCATGGTGGCTCACGCCTGTAATCCCAGCACTTTGGGAGGCTGAGGCAGGTGGATCACCTGAGGTCAGGAGTTCAGGACCAGCCTGGCCAACATGGTAAAACCCCGTCTCTACTAAAAATACAAAGAAATTAGCCAGGTGTGGTGGTGCATGCCTGTAGTCCCAACTACTCGGGAGGCTGAGACAGGAGAATCTCTTGAACCTGGGAGGCAGAGGCTGCAGTGAGCCGAGATTGTGCCACCGCACTCCAACCTGGGCAAGATAGAGTGAAACTCCATCTCCAAAAAAAAAAAAAGCAAAATGAGTAAAACGTAACTTTCGTCTTTTAGAGTGGTTTTAAAATAAAGCCACAACAACAAATAGAAGGCTGTCCGTCAGCGATGTGGACTGTTCGCTACACTAAAAGGCAAAATAGAAGTTTTCAAATGGTTTTCATGAGCACATGGAGTGACTTGACTTCACAAGAAACCTGAGTGCATGCGGAGGGGCACACACTCTCGAAGGGTCATTATGGAGCGTGCAAAATTTCAAATAGAGAAGCTCCCTTTGAGATAGGAGGCCATGGCAGATTTTGGTCAGCATTGGTGCAAATCATCTTTGGAGGGAAGTTTCTTAGAGGTGCTGCGTGGCTGGGGTCATTCTTTTCTTCCTCTCCTTTCTGGATGCCACCCTCTCCCTGCACTCGTGAGATAGCCCTTTCTACGTCTTCCCAGATAGAAAGCTTACAGCCTGGCACAGTGAGCCCCGGAGCCTCTGAGGCCTGGACCCCGTGCTTCAGGCATCTGAGAAAGCCTAAAGTCAGGAAATCCAGGGGGTTGGATTGGGGAGGGTGGATTCTGCCAGGTTTTTCTCCATCTTTTTACCTCCTTGTCTTCTCTAGAGGAGGCCCTTGGCTGGGAATCTCCCCGCTGGCCCTTCTTGTCTCAGCCCCGGGCAGCCAGGCTGGGGTCAGTCAGATGCTTGTTGATGGCCATCCCTTCTAGCCCTAGTTCAGAAGACCCACTTTGTTTTTTTCCTAAGGAACATGCTCACACTGCAGAAACATCCCATGCAAGCTTTAGGCCTGCGGGCACTGAGCTTCCAAACAGGCACCAAGCTGAGGGCAGCGGCTCCTCCAGGGCTCTTATGATGGAAGAGCCTTCAGGACAGGTGGCATCGAGATTGCTTTACCACATGCTTGGCATCAGGCCGTGGCCTGTCCCAAACTAAAGACCAAACAGGCCATAGGCTAGGGTGGTGATTGTTTCAGAAGTCCACTGAGTCTTAATACCCTGTAAGGGAGAGAAACGTGCCACTGGCAGACACCACACAGGGTACTGGGCTGCAGCTTCACATGCCCCCTGCCCAGGGAAGCTGGCGTTCGATATGTACAACCCCAATGACTGAGTTCCAGGCCATGCCCTGGCTTTGCTGTGGCACCATGATAGTGAACACCTGCCGCGTGCCTGAGCCCCGTGTTCGCCAGGGGACTGCTCCCCTTCCTCACCACCCCAGATTCCACCAGCATCGGTGATTCTCCTTTCCTGCGTACTTGCAAAATGCCAACTGGCGGGAATGATCTATTGGACGAGCGTAGTGTGAACACGGTATCTCACATAAAAGTGTGGCATGCTGTGGAAACTCACCGTCAACATGGTTTGGAATCTGCGCCTGGCTCCCAGTGTTCACCCACCTGGACACAGCAGGTGATACTGAGAGATGGGGAAGCTGTCGGTTCTCATAGGCGCTCATGGTTAGGGTATCAGGTGGGGTGACATACCTGCCCATTCGGCAGTGGGTCCCTTGCTAAAGGGAGTGATGGTCTCCATCCTGGCAGCCTGGGGCCTGGTATCTGGATGGCCGTTGGCACGTGCCTGGTGCAGAAGCCACATTTGCCATCACACTGACTCGAGGTCTTGTGGGAATGAAGCAGGACATGGAAAAGTTAATAAAATAGTCAGAATGAAGAAGGTGCTCCATCTGATGACAAGAGAAGCAGACGAGGCACTGGTGGATTTGAGAGGAAGGGCGCCTTGGGGAGGTGGTGGGGAGGGGGCCGTGGAGGCTGTACCCCTGGAGGCTGAGCAGTAGGGGTTGAGGATTTCCAGGCCAAGGAGCGCCAGCTGGGCATGGGGCTGTGAGTGGGGCAGGCCAGGGCTGAGTTGGGGGCTGCTGTGGCAAGAAGGAGGTCAGATGAGGACAAGATGGCCTTCTGGTCCCAGTATACCTTGGCATTTGGGAACCCCATGTGGAAATAGGACATTTTACAGGAGACACATAATCTAGCATGCTGTGTTCAAGGGCTGTGCTTTTGGGGATTCCAGTGTTTACATTAATCTTGGTGATGTCTTTAAAGCCTCCCTGCCTTAGAACATTCCTTTTCTTCTTTATGCAGCCTGAAAAACCAGGAGTTAAAAATGCCTCCATGGAGACTGAAAAGGGTAATAATGTTGGGAAATCGAGTTACACTCCCTGAATGGGAATAGATTCCCCACACCAGGCCCTTCCCCCACAGCTGGGCTCTGTCTTGTTCACCCGTGTGGGCCCTGTGCTTTTACACAGGTACTGGACACACCTTTGTTCTAAACAGCACTCCAGCCCTGGAAGATGTCTCCTTAGTGTAGACAGAGCTGGCACATATATTCTAACTCAGATGACGAACGTTACTTTCACTCAAAACACTGTTTTTTGTTCACATATAATTCACATATCATAGAATTCACCCAAAGTATACAATTAAGTGGCTTTTCGTACATTCACAAAGTTTGGCAACCATCAGTCCAATTCAAAAACGTTTTCATCACACTAACGGGAACCTCGTGTCCACTAGCTGTTGCCCCATTCCTCCTTCCCTTGGGGAACGTCTGTCTCTGGATCTGTCCCGGTCCCCAGAAGTGACAGCCATAGAGAAGTGAGAGTGTAGAGGGAGGCACGCGCCTTGGGTTTTCCTTTCCTGGCCTCCCCTAGCTCCTGGCAACCATGAATCTACCTCCCTTCCCTATGGATCTGCCTGTTTCAGATATTTCCTATAAATGGGGTCACACATTATATATATAGTTCTTTGTGTCTGGCTTCTTTCACTTTGCATGTTTTCCAGGCTCATCCTTGTTGTAACAGGTATCAAGGTTTCACTCCTGTACATGGCTGAGTACTATTCCATTGTATGGATATACCATATGTTGTTTATCCATTCATTCATTGACAAACATTTGGATATTATGGAAACCACTGCCAGGAACGTTTGTGAACACATTTTTTTGTGAACATACGAGAAACGTGATGTTCACTTTAGCTTTTCAAAATAGAAAATGTGGTACCTTCTGTGTTGGCCAGATGTCTTCAAGAGGCCTGCATTACTCGTTACCTCGAACACCTACCGTGCGCATCACGCTGAGTGGGGCAGGCACGTGGCAGAGGGTGACCTGTTGGGTGGCCTTCCTCCTATGGGGAGGGCAGATGCCTGAACAAGCACATGGGGTGGCTGGGAACATCCCCATGGGAGTGTGGCCCACCCCAGAGCACAGAATGGGGCTGCCTCTGTCCTCAACACTGGCAGGGACACCCCTGACTTTGGGAGGGGCTTGGACTTTGCAAGCTCCTTTTTGTTTAGTTCTGTGTGCAGATTTTCCGCTGGTTTAAAGTGTGCAAATCCATTGCTCAGAGGGTTCTCCACAGAGCATTAGATTTCCCGCTTGCTTCTTAAGATCTCTCCTCCCTGCAAAATGTCTCTGGGAGGCGTGGCAGCAGAGGGACCCTTGATGTTCCTTTTCTTAAGGAAAAGGATACAGCATTCCATCGCACACATCTTTTTATTGTGCTGAGGGTGGCTTTTACTGGCTGGTGTCTCTTCTTTTTGTTTCCAGGCATTTCTCCACTTGGTTGAAAACGTTAGAACAACCTTCTTGGGGAGCTTGAGGGTGGTAGGATGGCTGGGACCCACTTCCCGACCTCAGAGCCTCTGCCTTGGGAAGTGCCTGTCTCCCTCAGGCCCGTCCCCAGAGGCGAAAGCCACCGAGAAGTGAGGAGGCCACGTGCCTTAGTTTTCCAGGCTGCAGGGCTGGGCTGGGTAGATGTAGTTTCCACACGACTATAAAAGCCATCATCCAACATATTCTTTGAGGTATGTAAACAGAATTGTTTGAATGCAATCCAATAGTTGTCAGCAAGGGTATTATTTTGGTACAAGGAAGATGAGCTGTCCCCTTTTCTGTGCCTGGTGTCACATCACAATGCCGCCATCCGCTGCCAGGCAGTGGTGAATGGAAGCTGGTCCCTGTACACGAGGCCCGGTTGGGCTGTCTGTGTGAATTCCAGAACAATATTCCCGATACGAAGGAGGTGGCTCCAATTCCAATTAGAAGTCAAGTGTTTTTGTCAACCTTAAGAGACTTTGCAACAGAAATACCCTGCAGTGAGTGGGTTGGGGGGATTCTGGAGTCACTGGTGTGAAACCAAGGCTGACCCTAGGCAGGTCTGAGCCATCCCCCGCTGGCATCGGGGGGCCCCATGGGCGAGAGCGGCCAGGATGCTAGAAAAGCCACTGTCATTTTTGTGAGGGCAATCGCAAGGTTTGCCTCTGGGTGTAGGAGGAGGGTGACCTGACATCTTCCTGCCCGTCCCTTGGCCAGGCCAGGGAGCCAGGCCAGCCCCTGCGGGCAGCGCCCCCGGTGAACGACGTGGAGGCTGCAAGGCCTTTGTGCTTCCCGTGCACACCACAATGCCTGGCTCACCCTGCCGAGTGCTGTGATTGAAATTCATTGCCAAATTTATTGAGAAATTAATGAGAAAAGCTGCAAAGTATTGACTTTGAGAGGAAAACACAACTCATCTTGAATGAGGAGGAAAATGCAGCAATAATTTAGCCACTATTGATCTGGCCCTGTCCATGTATTGATCTTCATTTTACAATATTAATTTGCACCTGCAATCGGCTGCAGAGGGAACCGATTTCATTCCATGGCCGCGTTAATGTGCAAAGCATTAGGTGCTCTTAAGAAGCGGGG